GCACAGAAACTGCGTAGCATAGAAACAATGTAACACCCATAGTAACATTGTTCTGACGTCATGGCAACAGCACAGAAACTATGTAGCAAAGAAACAATATAACACCCAAAGTAACATTGCTGTGACGTCATGGCAACAGCACAGAAACTGTGTGGGAAAGAAATAATGTAACACCCGTAGTAACACTGTTCTGACTTCATGGTAACAGCACAGAACTGTGTAGCAAACAAACAATGTAACACCCATAGTAACATTGTTCTGATGTCATGGCAACAGCACAGAAACTGCATAGGAAAGAAGCAATGTAACACCCATAGTAACATTGTTCTGACGTCATGGCAACAGCACAGAAACTGCGTATCAAAGAAACAATGTAACACCCATAGTAACATTGTTCTGACGTCATGGCAACAGCACAGAAACTGCATAGGAAAGAAACAATGTAACACCCATAGTAACATTGTTCTGATGTCATGGCAACAGCACAGAAACTGCGTATCAAAGAAACAATGAAACACCCATAGTAACATTGTTCTGATGTCATGGCAACAGCACAGAAACTGTGTAGCAAAGAAACAATGTAACACCCATAGTAACATTGTTCTGATGTCATGGCAACAGCACAGAAACTGCGTATCAAAGAAACAATGAAACACCCATAGTAACATTGTTCTGACGTCATGGCAACAGCACAGAAACTGCGTATCAAAGAAACAATGTAACACCCATAGTAACATTGTTCTGACGTCATGGCAACAGCACAGAAACTGCATAGGAAAGAAGCAATGTAACACCCATAGTAACATTGTTCTGACATCATGGCAACAGCACAGAAACTGCGTAGCAAATAAACCATGTAACACCCATAGTAACATTGTTCTGATGTCATGGCAACAGCACAGAAACTGTGTAGCAAAGAAACAATGTAACACCCATAGTAACATTGTTCTGATGTCATGGCAACAGCACAGAAACTGCGTATCAAAGAAACAATGTAACACCCATAGTAACATTGTTCTGATGTCATGGCAACAGCACAGAAACTGCGTATCAAAGAAACAATGAAACACCCATAGTAACATTGTTCTGACGTCATGGGAACAGCACAGAAACTGCGTATCAAAGAAACAATGTAACACCCATAGTAACATTGTTCTGACGTCATGGCAACAGCACAGAAACTGCGTATCAAAGAAACAATGTAACACTCATAGTTACATTGTTCTGATGTCATGGCAACAGCACAGAAACTGTGTAGCAAAGAAACAATGTAACACCCATAGTAACATTGTTCTGATGTCATGGCAACAGCACAGAAACTGCGTATCAAAGAAACAATGAAACACCCATAGTAACATTGTTCTGACGTCATGGCAACAGCACAGAAACTGCGTATCAAAGAAACAATGTAACACTCATAGTAACACTGTTCTGACGTCATGGCAACAGCACAGAAACTGCATAGGAAAGAAGCAATGTAACACCCATAGTAACATTGTTCTGACGTCATGGCAACAGCACAGAAACTGCATAGAAAAGAAACAATGTAACACCCATAGTAACATTGTTCTGACGTCATGGCAACAGCACAGAAACTGCGTATCAAAGAAACAATGTAACACTCATAGTTACATTGTTCTGATGTCATGGCAACAGCACAGAAACTGTGTAGCAAAGAAACAATGTAACACCCATAGTAACATTGTTCTGATGTCATGGCAACAGCACAGAAACTGCGTATCAAAGAAACAATGAAACACCCATAGTAACATTGTTCTGATGTCATGGCAACAGCACAGAA